CTGTCATTTCAACTAATTAGATGAAATTATACAAAGGCCATTCCATCTGATAATTCTGTCAGTGTCTCTCAGTCCAATTACCACTCAGTAGATTATTAATTTACATCATTCAGAATATTGATACTCCCCAAATGTATTTTCCCTCTGACGGCCCATGTAACTATGGCAACCTTTTATGTTGATATTTTTTACCTTGAAATGAAGGCATTTCAACTCTGCTTTGAATGTGGATATGTAAAAGTCAATCATTTGAAACATTTCCATGTACATGTATTGTTGAACTGTCCAACAACAGAATTTTTATGTTTTTTACAGGCCTGATATCTACCAAACTACATTAACACATCCATTAGACAAGTTATACATGTAACAAAAAGACTTTGCCATGTAATGATGATGTAATCATAACTTCAGTTGACAATGTCATTTGTTCCAAATTACACCAACAAAATATTACATTTTTCTGCTGGCCAGTATCTTAAGGGTCAAATGTTATCAACTTACAACGTATATGTGAACCCCTGTACATTTACTGTGTAAAGTGTGTCATATAAAAAGCTGTGTTTGCCCACATAAACTCATTTCCACTGTCTTTTTATTAGACGATAATACAATACATTGACTAATGTATTTGTTGTCAAATTTAAAAACATTTTGTCAAAAGATTTTTAGGGCTGATCCGAATATCCGGATTGGAATATGATTTTCTGAATTTGAATATTCGAATGCAAAATTCATGAAAATGAAGGGAGAATTTTCTTTTGTTTTAAATGAGTAAAATTGTATTTTGGAGGCTTTTTTCAAGCAAATTCAAATGAAAAGTGACAGAATCTTATGATTCAAAAAGTAAATTATTTCATTCAAAAATTTGAACATAAAAGACAAGAAGTATTGTTTGTCTCTTAAATCTCACTAAATCTTGGCTGGAGATACTCCCAGAGGTGAGAAGCTTTCACAGTGATTATAATGTAGAATTGTGTGCGTTGTTGCAAGTGATTTTGTATATAGACATGTATGGTTTGTTCATCAACAATCTGCCAATTGGTACAACCGAATACTGTAGTCGGATATTCGATCGATTCGAAGAACGAATATTTGAGTGGTGAATTATTTGAATTGACTCAGTTATAATGATTTTGTGACCAAATGTAAAACATATCATGTTTTGCATAAAATGTACATGTGTTTGTATACATCCTGTAACATTTTTTGAAGAAAGTTGTACCAAGTGGGAAAAAAGAGGAAAAAACTTAAAAATGAAACATATCAAGTTAAATTGTTATTTCAAACAGTTTTTATGAATAAAAACACTTTTTTTATCTTACCGGTAGATGCCAGTCAGTTGAGAGTCACTTTGGCAAAGTCTTTTGCCCTAAGAATTACGAAGGTCATAACATCAGTTAAAGGCTTACATTTAGGTACATGTATTTTCACTGCTAAAACATTAAATCACAGGAATATTAGTAGCCTATATACATGTACACAGTTTTAACATTTGTATCTGAATTTTGTTCACCTTTTGTTTTAATTGTCAAGATTGCTAATTGTTCCAATGTTAGAAACAAAAGTTCAGTGCAAATTAATCTGCTGATGTGAGATGTGCGTGCATGTGACTACTCGACGAGTTTAGTGTAATAGTTACAGTTGGTGTTGGTCA